TGGGAAGTTTGTTTTGTTTTTTTATTGTCTGATTCGGAGGGTATGAAGTATGGGCGAGGTGCTATGTGATATTTAGTCATATCTTAAAGATTTAAGTCAAATTATATGAAAAGTCGATAAATGGTTATGGAAGATACGCGAGGCAGTGCATGATGATACGAAATTAATGGAATAGACCAAGCGTTTTGAGGATAAAGTGGGACCTACTTCGCTTTTTTTCTTCCCCAGGCATGTCCGACATAGAGTGGGTGTCGCGAGTGTACGAGGAACTCAGCGCCGCGCAGGACCCACCCACGCCCTTGGTCATCCTGCAATGCACCTCGGCCTACCCGACGCCCCCCGAGCACGTCCACCTACGCGTCCTCGACACCTACGCCCAGGTTTTCCCTCACGCCCACATCGGATACTCGGGTCATGAGCTGGGGATTCACGTGACGGTGGCGGCCGTGGCTCGAGGAGCGAGGGTGAGTCGGCTTGATGAGTCGGTGGATAACGTGTGAATATTCGGGTATTCAGGTTATTTTCAGGTGATATTAACGACGTTCGGGTGATTCGTCCTTAACATCCACTTTATATCCAGGCGGAGAGAGGGATTTAATTTAAGGAGGAAGCATGGTTTAGGTGAGTATGGGTTGCGGGAGTGTTGAGGGAGCTGTGCTTCATGTGAGCGATAGGCCTACATTAATCAGTATTAGGAAGCTCTAGAATATGGAGTATAGAGTATGCTGGACCTTTAGATTTAATCATAACTACTCAAGTACTAGAGAGAAATGCACTTAAGTAATGATGATGAGTTAGTACGTGGTTTCTGTCTTGGAGTTCCATTGGGCTCTGGGGGTAAATGAAGCAATTCTAGAGTGTTTGCTGGAGTCCAGATAAGCTATATAATATAAGGCTCTTGCATGGTCTTAGTTTGTATGATCTTAGGAAATGTTAGTTTATTTTGACAATGATCGACAAATTATTAAAATCACTTTACAGGCTGGTGATGATAATTATTCTAAATACACCGATGGTATAGAGAAAATGTTACATTCAGTCAGTCACATACAACCTGCCAAGTGCATCTTTTCCACAGTCAGTCACATCCAACCAGTGAAGTATATCTTCTCCTCGATACGAAACATAAGAGATACAGAAAGTCGTATGCATTGTTGATGAGCGAGTTATCTATTTCTACAGCGTATATGTCGACCGAATGAATCAAGGAGGCATGTTTCTTACATTAGTCAGTGCTTTGTTCCTTTTAAATCCTTTGCTACTAAGACGAATTACTTAAGATAAAGACGAATAGAATGAGTAAATTCAAATTAAACAATACAAGACAAAATATGTTTTCTTTTTTCGCGCCCCTAGAGTATACACTTAATGCAAAAAAAAGAAGAAAAAAACATGATAATAAATAAAAAACATATGTATAACTTTGCCGTGCTGACAATAAGACAGAAAACCACCCACAACATCAACCTAATTTGCATATACCCCCCACCCCCGTTATAAGTGCCATCATCGACCGAGTCCTCACGCCTCCCGATCCCCCTGCAGGTGGTGGAGAGACACATCACACTCAACAAGAGCTGGAAGGGCAGCGACCACGCGTGTTCCCTCGAGCCCCACGAACTGAGGGAACTCGTGGAGGCCGTGAGGAGCGTGGAGGCCGCCCTCGGGAGTCCCCTCAAGGCCTTCCAACCCTCGGAGGAACCCTGTTTCTTGAAGGTAAGTGGGGGGGGGTGACGGGTCTGGGATAGAGGGAAGAGGTCAGGGAAGGAGTGGAGAGCGTCTGAGAGGGGAGGGGTGGGTTAGGGAGGGAGTGGAGGGCTCCTAAGCGGGGATGAGGGGGTCAGGGAGGGAGTGGAGGGCGTCTGAGAGGGGAAGATAGGGTCAGGGAGGGAGTGGAGGGTGACTTAGAGGGGGGGATGGGTCAGGAGGGAGTGGAGGGTATTTGAAAGAGGAAAAATGGGTTGGGGAGGGAGTGGAGGGCGACTTAGAGGGGAAGAGTGGGTTAGGGAGGGAGGGGAGGGCGCCCAAGCGGGAATGAGTGGGTCAGGGAGGGAGTGGAGGGTATTTGAGAGAGGAACAATGGGTTAGGGAGGGAGTGGAGGGCGACTTAGAGAGGGAGGGTAGGTCAGGAGGGAGTGGAGGGCATCTAATAGGGGAAGAGTGAATCAGGGAGGGAGTGGAGGGCGTCTAAGAGGGAAGAGTGGATCTGGAAGGGAGGGGGGGGGCGTCTAAGAGGGTCATGTGAAGATTTAATGGTGGTGATTGAGTGGTTAAAGTACGTAGGGGATCATATATGGCTTAATTTGGGATTAATCGAAAGTACTTCGCTGACAAAGGAACCTTCAGTATGGTTTTCCACTGGTGAGAAGGGAAAAATGTTATGTAATTTATTTCGGGATTAGTTCAGTGCATTTTGCTGACCAAGGAACAATAAAATTGATTATACAATATCAGGTTTGTCTGATTTTACATCAAAGAGGAAAGGAGTATGGAATATGACTAAAGGAAAGTATTTCACGGACTGAGCAATTTTCTTTGGAGACAAATAGTTTTTTCTTCTTATATTTTGTTACATAATCAAGCTGATAAGTTATTGAGTATTATGCTTTATCTACAATATCCAGGAAATATTCTGAAATGCATGCATCGTACTTCAAGTGATTATTATAGAATCTCTTAATATTTTTCCTAGGTATTTTGATACTGATTCAATAACATATGAAAAACTTCGACGTATTTATCCAGTTATTCGTATGTGAATTCGGATCTTTTTTATTGTAGGACATAATGTAAGATGGATGATCGATAGAGAAAGAATAGATGTACTTTATTTTTTGAGAATATTGTTTTTTTTTATTCTTTCTTCTTTAGATACAAATATATTCGTAATATTATTCTCAATTGCAGTGACGAATTCGATATCACAGTCGTTATCATCCATTCGCTTCATAAGTATCATCCTCTTTCGATATGTCCCCCTTTTTCACCCTCTTATCACATATTTTCCAAGTCCCCTTTTTATCCTTTCATCGTATATTTTCCTTCTGATTCATTCATCTTTCTATCTGTCCCCTTTTTCATCCTTTCATCGTATATTTTCCTTCTAATCCATTCCTCCCTCTCTCCCTCCTGCAGCTCGGAAAGACGGTGGTGGCCGGCCGGAACCTGAAGGCGGGGCAGACGATTCAGGAGGAGGACGTGGTGGCGAAAGTAGCCGAGCCGCGCGGCCTCCCAGCGACACGTCTGGACGAGCTGGTGGGCGGGTGTCTCAACCGCGACGTGGAGGCGGACGAGAGCATCCTGGAGGAGGACGTCTTGTGAGGAGAGGAGGGCTGGGTGCGCCTGGAGAGAGGGTGTCGTCGGAGGCCTAGGCACTGATGGAAATACGAAGAGGATTTTCTTATCTCTGGCGTCGGAGAGAGAGAGTTGTGAAGATAAGGGAATGCAGAGGCGGTCGTGGAGAGTGCATTTCGTTGGCGAAAGTAAGCCTGGCAGCGTCGTCTTAGCCGTTATGTGATTCCTAACCCGTATTCTCATTGTACTCTTAAAGTAAGCGAGTCGATTAATGAGTCGGCAAAGTACGTTTCGATTGGCCTTTTAAGTGTTAAGTCGTCCCTTATGAATTTACAAGTTTTAAATAATTTAAGCGTCTTTTATACTCATTTACATCTCATATATATTAATGATTTAATGTATTCGTGATCGATATCAAGTATACCACAAGCTGTTTCTGTATAACGGGAATGGTGTAGGTTGGCACATACGTTACGCCGTTTAAATGTAAATCCTTAAGATAATTTTCTGATCAGTAGCGTTTCCTAAGTCACTCGAATGAACAGAATAAAATTTGCGGAAGGCAGTGTACCTATCAGCCTATTTAAGGTGTTCTGACGTCGCCAGAACCTGGGGGATTTTTACGACAACGACTGTCTCAGGAATTTCCAAGACTTTTCCGGCGTTCTAAACGTTACCCTGTTTTCGTATCACTGTGGCGTTAGGTGGCTGGTGTTCGGTGGTCTCTTCACATCGTAAATGCTATGTTATTGCATTATGCTGCTGGAATGTCTGCGATTCTCCAACGGCAAAGCGGATATGAAACGATAGCGGCACTACAGCGTCTCCGCCTGAGTGGTAGGCGATGCATTTTGGCAGTGATGCAACATACACCCAGAGTTCAAATGTATGTGTCTCATTTTGCGGAAGTCATTAGACGTATTTCAAATGCCCGCCGACCAACGCATTATCTCACCAGTGCCGGATGATCTACCAAGCCTGGTGGTTAACGTACTGCCTCCACCCCCCCCCCCCCTCCCGCCTCGAGACCTACAACAGCGACTTCATTATGCAATCACGAATTTCTTATCTCGTCGGGTACTTCGGCCTATACTGCCCCCGGTGCTCCGAGCGCTTCGAGCAGTCAGTCACCAACAAGGAAGGGGCGGGGAATCTGAATCGAAGGTAAACAATAAACGGACCTTTTTATACTTTGCTCAATTTCGTCGTTGCATAGGTCGTCTCCCGATAAGGATGGCATCTCGAAAGCCACGTTTCTCACATGGCGTCTCTTGTTCATGAATAGGACACTGCATTTTCATGGTGTGTTCAGGGTTTGGATCATCCATATGTGTTCAATTACGATATCTTGAAGGTATTTGATGTATCCTAAAATGATGATGTTATTCTCGTACATTTTTTTTTCGTGCTACAAGAATGGAATGAGCTATACATGTGAGGATCTAGGTAAACAGATGTTAATCATACATTAAAATGCATATTATTAAGGAGTATTTTGAAGCTGTGCACTGTATCATACAACTGTTCACTATATTTCATCATGAAGGTGTATACCATACTTTACTAAGAAAGGTCTATCGACTTCATTATGTTTATCATATAGAATATTTATCTTACTTGGCCATGTGTTTATTGAAAGAATACAGGGTGTTTTCAAAGAGTTATTTTCTATGTGTTCACTGCATGTTTAGAATAAGAATGTCACATACAAAGCTATTTTGGGATAAAGCTATAAAAGCTAGTATTAAACACTAGGAGAGACCCAATGGTTGCACACGACTAAACTGTCTTGTTAAGTATTAGTTAATCTTATCACTATGCAAATGATGTTAGTGATACTGACTCTAAGGACTGAAGTGACTAGTCGTGATGAATGAGTTCTGGATATAATGATAAATACTGACTCAACACTGAACTACCTAGGACGTTGTGTTAATACTTACTTCAGCACTCTATTGGCTAGGTATGGACACATGACTTATGACACTGACTTCCCACTGTTCTATACATGGACGCATAAATCCAGTGTTAATAAACTGACTGCTATGACACTGACATCTACCTTTAATGTTACCTGTTGTTCTGCCTGAAATAATGAAAACACATATGACGTAGATATTTAATTTTGCTTCGCCTGGATTGCTGACTCACACTTGAGTAATCCAAATTTCTGACAATCTTTTACATAAAACTTCATCATTGTGCAGCTAAATGTAGGTTTAGGTGAACAAAATCTTTTAAAGTATGGAACACTATTATAATGCACACAAGTGCACACACGAACACACACATACATACTTTTATGCGCATGAGAGTTCATGTGATGAAATTATGTAGGTGGATATGTTTGTGTGTGTGTGTGTGTGTGTGCGCACGTGCGTGTGTACGTGTGTGTGTGTGTGTGTGTGTGTGTGTGTGTGTGTGTGTGTGTGTGTGTGTGTGTGTGTGTGCGTATATGCGTGTGTGTGTGTGTACGTGCGTATATGTGTGTGTGTGTGCGTGTGTACGTGCGTATGTGTGTGTGTGTATGTATGCGTTTTCGTGCGTGTGTGTGTGTATGCGCGTATGTGCGTCTGCCTGTCTGTCTGCCTGTCTGTATCTTAATCCCTACGTGAACATAATGTCATTTTTTCTATTCATTATACCTGGCCATTACACTGAAATGTAATTAAACCATTAAATTATTGTGATGCTAATATATTTGTCTTGTCGATCACCTCTCAGGGTTTGTGTTTTGTATCATTTTTCATATTTGATCATTTAGCATTTGTAACACGAACTCCCGGGTCGAGAATAAAAATTAATTACTCTTTTGTTGTTTGTCGGCCCCTTGATGGTAATTAGGATGATGATGAGGAGGAGGAGGAGGAGAATGGTGATGATGATGATGATGATGAGGAGGAGGAGGAGGATGGTAATGATGATGATGAGGAGGAGGAGGAGGAGAAGGAGGATGGTGATGATGATGATGATGATGAGGAGGAGGAGGATGGTGATGATGATGATGAGGAGGAGGAGGAGGAGAAGGAGGATGTTGATGATGATGATGATGATGATGAGGAGGAGGATGGTGATGATGATGATGAGGAGGAGGAGGAGGAGAAGGAGGATGGTGATGATGATGATGAGGAGGAGGAGGAGGAGGATGGTGATGATGATGATGAGGAGGAGGAGGAGGAGGATGGTGATGATGATGATGATGATGATGAGGAGGAGGAGGAGGAGGATGGTGATGATGATGATGATGATGAGGAGGAGGAGGATGGTGATGATGATGAGGAGGAGGAGGAGGAGGAGGAGGAGGAGGATGGTGATGATGATGATGATGAGGAGGAGGAGGAGGAGGAGGATGGTGATGATGATGATGATGAGGAGGAGGAGGAGGATGGTGATGATGATGATGAGGAGGAGGAGGAAGAGGAAGATGATAATGTTGAGGATGATAGGGAGGATGGGATGGATATGATGAAGGAGGAGGAGGAGGAGGATGGTGATGATGATGATGAGGAGGAGGAGGAGGAGGATGGTGATGATGATGATGATGATGATGAGGAGGGGAGGAGGAGGAGGATGGTGATGATGATGATGATGATGAGGAGGAGGAGGATGGTGATGATGATGAGGAGGAGGAGGAGGAGGAGGAGGAGGATGGTGATGATGATGATGATGAGGAGGAGGAGGAGGAGGAGGATGGTGATGATGATGATGATGAGGAGGAGGAGGAAGATGGTGATGATGATGATGAGGAGGAGGAGGAAGAGGAAGATGATAATGTTGAGGATGATGGTGGTAAAGGTGGTGATGATGAAGATGATGATGGTGATGGTGGTGGTGATGATGATGGTGGTTATGATGGTAATGGTGGTTATGATTGTGATGATGATAATGATGATGGCAATGATCATGGTAGTAGTGGTGATGATGATATAATGTTACGAGCGATAATGATAACGGTAAGAATGGTAATGACAATGATTATCATTATTATGATAATGACAATGATGATAATCATAGCTAATTTTAAATGATAACGGATGATAATAATAATGATTAATAATGATAGGAAAGATAATAACAGCATCAGTGACATTAATGATGATGGCAATAATGATGCTAATGATAATAATAATAATAGTAATAATAATAATGCTACAGCTGATACCACTATCATTTTTACTACACTTACTACTGCTAATGATAATGATCATGATTGCATTGATAGTAATAAAAGTAATATGTGTTTATCTTATTATTACCATTATTATCATAATTATCTCTTTGTTGTTATCATTACCATTATTATTATTATCATTATATTATCATTATTATTATTATTATTATTATAATTATTATTATTACCATCGTCAGTATCATTATTATCATCATTATCATTATTGCTATATTTATTATTACCATTATATCATCGTTAGTAATGATATCAATAATAAATAATGAAAAAGATGATAATGATAATAAAATAGAAAAAAATAATGATCATTGCGACTGTAATAAGATAATGACTAAGTAAAAGTGATACAAAACAATATTAATAACGATAATAACCATGAGGAAAATTGTAAAAAAAAAAATAATGATAATGATAACAACAATAATAGTGATGATAATGATTATAACAATAATGAAGATGCAGATGATAATAAAATTAATAGTTATAATAGTAATAATAATAAAAATGATAACAATAATAACAACTACAATAATTATAACAACAGCAACAACAACAACAATACTACTACTACTACTACTACTAATAATAATAATAATAATAATAATGACATAATAATGATGATAGCAATACCAATAATGATAATGACAATAATAATAATGATAATAATAATAATAATAATAATAATAATAATAATAATAATGATAATAATAATAATAATAATGATAATGATAATAATAATAATAATAATAATAATAATAATAATAATAATAATAATAATGATAATGATAATAACAATAATGATAATGATAATAATAACAATAATAAGGAAATCACATTATGGCTGATATTACTACTATTACTACTATTAATACTACTATTGATGGCAATAACAATAACGATGATAACAATAGCAATAATGATAATACCATAATACCAATGATAATAAAATAATGAAAATAAGGATAATGATAATGATGCTACTACTACTTCTAGTAATTATAATAATGATAATAACAACAACAACAATAAGAATAAGAATGATAATAACCAACAAAACAAAAAGAACAACAACGATAGTAATAATAATAACAACTATTATCATTATAAAAATAATAATGATAATAAGAACAATTATGATAAAAATGATGATGATGATAATAATAATAATAATAATAATAATAATAATAATAATAATAATGATAATAATGATAATAATAATGATAGTAATGATCATAATAATAATGATAATGATAATGATCATGATAATAGGAATGACAACATAATAATAATAACAACAATAATAATAATAATAATAATAATAATAATAATAATAATAATAACAATGATAATGATAACAATGATAATAATAACAATAATAACAATAACATTAATGATATTACAAGTACTACTACTAATGATAATAATAATGATGATAATAATAATAGTGATAATAACAATAATAAAATTTTAAAGATAATAAAGACAATAATAACAATAATGATAATGATAATGATGATGATGATAATGATGACGATAATCATAATAATAG